GAATTTTGGATCGTACAGGACCTCAAATTATCGTACGAATGGGATCGCTGTGCACAGCACACAGTGATGCAGATGTGCGATTTTTCCCACGCATGCGCACTACCCTATCCTCAGTAACGTATATACTTCACTCAAATATGGGGTATCGTTAGACCCTCATGACAATTGAAATACAGTAAACTAGAAAAGGCCCCTTACGTGTATCTACTGTTGCACATAGATATGTCCATGGAAACAATCACCGTCGAGTTATGACGACGTCGCATACGCATGCGCATGAAGGCTCCCACGTGGGAGAAAATCCCAAGTCCTAGCATTTATTAAATGTTTTTCAATTGTTTAAAAAAGACGTAATGTATGTAGAGTATACTTAACTTAGCTTTAAATATTAGATGATTATTAATATACTTTGAATATTAAATTATTTCGATGTTATATTATGCTAGATAAAAATGTTACCCTTTTCAGGGAATCATTCCTACACAGGAGTGTTAAAATAATACAGAATGTTTGTAATGTACAATAGAATATTTAATTAACCTTAATTTCTTGTTAATTGTGAAATGTTGTTATTTTTAATTAGATAAATATTTAGAAATCATAGATAAAATTATATGAAAAATAATTCTTTGGAGAAACACATATATTGAAAATTTTCAAATTCATATGATTTCGAATGATACAATTTTTTGTAATATTTTCATTATTAATAATATATAAAAAAATAAATAAGATATGTTTGATACGACATTAAAAAATGATATGACATTGGAATGAGAAATAGGAATAAGAAATAGAAATGTTATTAAATATGAAAGTAATGAAATATCTAGAGAAAATGAACGTTACAGTAGAAAAGATAAAAATATATAATTCTAGAGTTTTGAAAGGACATTTATAAGATTCTGTTATTGGATTTCACAGTTTGCCAACTGCATAGTTTATTGCATAAGATAAATATTAAGATAAGAGATAGCAATTTTTAATATCATATATATATATATATATATATATATATATATATATATATACACTCAGTATAATTGTTTTATTTCACCATCTCTTTCTCTCTTATTTTATTATTTTAAAAATATATTTTATTTATTTTTTAAATATTTCTTTTTGTTTATTAAAATATAAGATCATGTACACACATACACATCCTCTCTTTTTTCCTTTTTCTCAAAAAATTTTGTTCATTTTTTTAAGAGTAGATAATCTATATTTAAGAAAATTAAAATCCGTTAAGATAAAAAAGAAAACAACTTTTAAATTAATTAAGCCCGAACAGCAACAGGTTTTCTTGGTTCCAATCTGATTGGAAAACCTTCGGCCCGTTTGAGAATAATATCAGCTTGGAGTCTGAAATCTTTCTCTTGAACATCAGATACCACACGGAAGTTTCTTAAAATCGTCGAGAGAAGAATCTTCAATTTGAGCATGGCGTATTTTCGGCCTACGCAAGAGCGTGGTCCAGCAGAGAAAGGTATAAAAGCGTAGTAGTGTCTGTTAGCTGTTTTTTCCGGAAGGAAATTATCCGGGTCAAAAACATCTGGATTTGGATAAATTTTATTTAATCGGTGTGTCTTAAATGTACCAACAACGACAGTGGTTCCAGCTGGTATGGTATAATCACCAGAAGCTAAATAGAAAATTGGATTAGTGAAAATATCAAGAAGAAGCAAAATAATTAACAAATGATCCGAAATGTCGAGAATTTTGATTTGGAATTAATAAGAATCTCTATAGTATTTATAACATTAAATTGATTGGTATTCTATATACCATCATTCCATATATCATTCTTAATATCATAAGATTCGAAAATGTCTCAAAAATTAGAAATTCTAAATCATAATTCTATTTAATCAAATTAGTTATGAAATTTCATTTGGATTCTCGATATTTTGGGGTTTTTGTATACCTCTCTTGATTATATGTATATAAATGAAATAAATTTTTCTACAAAAATACTACTAACCAAGTTTAAGATCTTCTTTTACTTGACGAGCAATGATTGGTACTGGTGGATACATGCGTAATGTCTCCATGAGACACCGTTCAAGATATTTCATCTGCAAAGTGTCCTGGAAAGTAGCAGGTCTATCGCTATCTTCAAAAATCTCATAAAGTTCTTGGTATACTTTTTCTTGGATATCAGGATGGCAACCCATCATGGATAAGAAGAAACTTGATCCAGATGCTGTGGTATCGTGTCCCTTTTTTAACAAAACATTACTAATAAATTTACTTCATTTTACATATAAAGGGTATTTTAAAAAAATCATTCAATATTTAAAATATCGTGTATATGTAATCATACACCTAAATATTTCTATTATTTATTGTTTTATGACAGAAAATCTTTAGCACGAAGAGTTAATCTATATCCAAGATCGCAAAGTGAAAAAGTTTGAGAAGCCTTAATTTAGATCATTTTTAAATACCTCAAACATGATGGTATCGACTTGTTCTTTGATTTCTTGGTCAGTTAATACCACACCATTTTCTCCAACTTCGATTAAGAGATCTAAGAAAGCCTGTCTCTTCTTCTCACCAACATCATTATCATCAACATCAAGATCGTCCTTCAAACCAGCGGATTGACCGAAAGACAGACCCTCGACGGAAGTTACGTTACCCTACGTTTTATTGAAGGTTTTTTTTTATATAAATATAATCATGAAATCTGTGATTGAGTGAACGTGAATAAATACAATATTTCAGAGAAAATAATATAAACCTTAGTGTCAGTGGTGTTGATAATATTACGTTTGCCACTTTTGTATTCTTCCTTTTTACGTTTGATAACTTTTTTCGTGAGCCCATGAATAATCTCCAGAAGTTTTATCTGATCTTTACTGTACTTGGTAAGATTGAAAAGCCAATCGGGTCTCAACCAAACTTTCGTATGACGAAGATGAAGAATATTGCACATCCTATAAGAATAAAATAAAAACAAAGATAGTTAAGTAACCATTAATTTAGAAAATTAATTAATTAACAATATTAACTCTTTTCATTCCAAGCAATTTGCGTATACGCTGGTAGTTAATTTTACCTGGATGATACAATTGAACTTAAGAATGCAAAGGGTTAATAAATGAAGAAATAAATTATTCATTTATTTTATTTTTACTCACTTCATTACAGCCATCGCATATTCGAATCCACTTTTATCTTGCGTAGATTTTGATACACCCATTGCCGTCTCAAGAAGTATCTCAACCGTAGTCTCAGACATATAATTGTGACAATCAAAATCTTTACCATTTTCTTTACGCATTTTTTCAACAACGGCACGGGAATTATCATTAAAGAGATCAATAAAACTCTTCAGTATGTTCAAGTGGAAAGTAGGTGCAATCAACTTCCGGTGAGAACGCCATTTGTGCCCTTCGAATATCAAAGTTCATCGTCAAGTTTATTCATTTAATTTATTTATTATTTTTTTATTTATTATTAATTATCATTTAGGTTATTAATAATTTATTTGTGTAAATTTAAAAACAAATTCACACACAAAGATTTTTCTTGATGTAACCCTTTTTATTTCTCATGACTAATTGTAAGTGAAAGGAAATGAACCAGAAAATGAAACATTGACGTTAAATTTCATTTCTGTTTTGTCTATCATTGGACCGTTATAATAAACGATTTCAATTTCACTCAGATAATTGTTATGAAATTGAATTGGTAGTTGCAAAGTTATATGTGTTCTCATAGACGTCTACTTTCTATTCTTCTTTTCAAGTTATATTTCTTAATATCCATTAAAAAAAAATTATTTTAATAATTTTATATTAATGATATGTAATAGAACTCTTTATCTCAGCGTTTTTTTAACTACGATTCTTAAAGAAAATATAGAAAATATAATACATGTTTTTTTTTTAATATAAAAGAGTTTTGTTGCAATTGTGTGCATTGTAAAAATTTTACGAAAAATACTGATCTGCAACTGAAAAAGTTTGGAAAAAGGTGTTTTTATCTCATTGGATAATAATTAAATATAATAATTATAAATTAAAATTATATAATAAATAAAAGAATTAGAGGGTTGTAAGAAAAATTCATAACGATTCTACGTGTAACGATTATTGCGTGCACAAAATTTACTGCCGTTATTACGATAGCGAATGAACGACACAAAGAAAGAAAGAAAGTAAAGAATCATGAGTCGTGAAAGTTTCGATATAAATACATCCGTAAAAATTTCTCTTTTAGAACTTTCTTTAAATTAGAAATATAATAGAAACTTTGAAATATATAATATACGTGTGATTTGAAAAAAAAAAATAAAAAAACAAAAACATAGATACCTGAGGATATAAGAAGACCATTTCCGAGCCAAGGTTTAAAGAATCTGTATTCTGTAGATTTATCAATATAAACATGACTAGACAGGATAATCTCGATGTCTCGAGGATCGACCAAGAAGACTATAAGTTTAGGACCAATCCACAATTTAACGACTTCGTTATATTCCTCAGCATATTTCATTGCTGTAGTGAATATCGCTAGAAAAATTAGAAAAGAAAAGGGAAGTTGAAAACAATTGTTTAAATAAATTAATTAAATAAATAAATGAATATATGTATATATTATTTGTATAAAAAATATTATCTTACCATCAGGATTTCCAAGAAGTTCTAATGCGTTACCAACAAGAGGATATCCTTTAGGTCCAGGAATTTTCTCCGCAAGTTCTATCATATGTCGATGAGAAACACGGAAATAGATATAGAGAAGAAGAAGAGCTGGTACCAGAAGAGTAAAGAAAACCGATAAAGTTGACATCCCGCCGGCCACGGATTCCGCGACCGATTCGGTTATTACTTCCGGTCCCATTGCGGAGGACATGTTTCTACGATTAAATAAAAAATGATTTCATAAAAAAATTTGCGATTTTTTAATATAAAGCACGATTTAAGGGTACTATATATATTTAAAAATAATTTATTAAATTTTACGAAATGGTGAGAAAATTAAAATTAAAATTTTTCAATCACTTGATGAATACAAAATTGAGCAAAATTATGCAGGAAGCTATCAACTTCAAGTGATCAGAAATTGAGTAAATTTAATTTGAAAATTTTTTTAATCAAAAAGAAAAAGGAAAAATTATTTGATTAAGTATTTTCTATTGAGTATTTGATTGTTGTTTTACAATATTTTTTAACGGTTTATTTATTAATAAGTAGTATAGTTAATTTTACAAATTTCCTTTTCATTTATAAATTTAAAATGAAACGATGTATTTGTTCTGTTAATAATTGTATAATGCAAGAATTATTACATAGGTTGATAATTATTTTCAAAAATTAAAAGATCCATACTGTGTTCACTGAATTTTTATTTATATTAATGGTTTAATATTATTTTTTTTTCTGTACAATTAGGTCCTCCAATTATTATGGTTATACAAAAATTGAAGTTAAAACGTGATTGGAAAAATACAAATTTCATTTACCTTCTAATTGAGAATACAATATCCCAAAGTTGAGGTGATCACCCACCCGTATATTAGCACAAATATAAAAGATAAACTACAGTTGATGAAGACCTACCACTAAACTGTTGGTCTCGCTTTAGGACTGAGTCTTTTATAAGCGGTTCTCTTAGCAACCCCTACTACTTCTTATATCAAGAAATCAGACTTTTAATAATGACTACTTATTTTTTGAAGAATATTTGAGTTGATAATAGATTCACTAATTATTTATTCTCACGTAAATCGGCATGTGTTTTACGCAATTGGAAATGACGTTTCATTATTCGATTTGGTAGAGTCACGTTAGTTCTTTTATTTTTTTTTATTATTTTTATTTTGTAATTATATTTCAATTCAATGTTTTAAAAATAAGTTAAACATTTATGGTTTCCTTGCTATAAAATGCACTTTTCTTTACGTTATATTTAACATTATCTCAGGGTCAATTTTTACGTTGTTAGGAAACGAATTTCGTTAACTTACCGATATTTCATAGTTCTTATGTAATTTACAACGTTTTACTCTGGCTCAATTATTACGTTTAATTGTTTATTTCGTTGTTTACTTGAACAAATAATAGTTCATTTTGTTTCAAGTGTTTCCTAAATGCTTATTTCAAAACATTGAAATATCATCTAATAACTGTTATTTTTCTATTATTTTAGACGACTCCAATCTTAATAGTTTAAACGAACGAAGGATGTTTTTATACTGAAAAATATAAATATATGTGGTCAGAAAGTGTGAAATAGTTTGCTTATGGACATCTTTACCGTTTTTTATATTATATTTTACTCGCGTTAGTGTCGAATTAATAATTAAAAGAAGTGTATACGTTTATTTACAATTAATATTTAAATTTTGTTTTCATTTTAAAGTCTAAAATGGAACTATGGCTTTTTACTATTGCTAATTGTATAATATAATAATTATTATATTCAATTATATAATATAAATATAAATATAAATTTTTAATATAAAAAATATAAAAATTATAATATTATACGTAGATACAAAAATATTTTAAGTGATTTGTTTTTTCAAAATTAATGTTTTTATTTTCAATAATTTTCTTTTGTTATACAATATATTTTTAAATATTTTGTTATATTTTAACTTAAGTCAATTTTTTAATCACCACACAGCATAAATATTACGTATTTATAATAATTATATTATTATTATAAATAAATAAAACACATTAAAAAGTGTTCAAATACAATAGAAAGATTTGAATTTATAATTCTCGAATGTTTCGATATATCGAAAATACTCGATTTAAGATAAATCTGATGTAGCACACACTTATCTGTATCTATGTGTAGTGTCTATGTGTATAAAATAATTTTGACGCGTAATGCTGTAATGTTTAAATGTGACTTTGTGTATCGTTTCTTTTTTTCGCAGGAAATTATTTAAGTAAATGAGTAAGGGATTGACGGAATGCATAATCACCGGATATCCAGGTCTTGGAACGGGTGCTTTTTAATATATACGTGTCACGTGGAAAACAACATCACTGACGTATATCTTTATGTAGATACCGCTACGCGTTATGTGAGTGTCGTCTTTCTTTACTTTTGTTTCTCTTTCTCTTTTTTATTATTTTCAATTTTATCATGGGCAAAGTTTTTAATGAATATTAATTGTTCTATGATATTATAACCTGTATTACTTCATTTCTGTATTATTATGTCTTTTTTCTGCGCACGTGTAGAGGTTATGTTTGATAAAAGTATTTTTCATGGGTTTTTTTTTTTTTGATATAAATTTTCTTTGACGTTATTTTTTAATATCGCTATGTATTATTTATTGCGGAGATCTTTTGTTTAATAGTTAAGGTACGTTGATTTGTTTTTTGTAAAAAGTATTATTTTATATATACAAGTGTATTTCTGATGATGTAAAGAATTGCTCCAATTTTGTTATCTTAATTTATTCATTGTGTTTGCCTATCATAAATTTATAATTTTGATTGGCATTTTTCTAAAGATATCAGAAATAAAGTTTAGATAAGTTTTTGAAAATTAAAGGCTGTCATTTCTAAATAAAATTTTTAATACATTTTAATGTAAGCAATGGGAATATTGAATACAAATTTTTATTGTTACTTCTGAAAACAGCAGGATTTTTACTATAATAATAACTTTTGATTCTATCGTTGAATGATTTATGTTTTTAGTGTTTACAAAATTAGAAGAAATCATATGTCATTGCAATAAAGTTTACAAGATTGTTTGAAGTCCTATGTATATGGCAATCTCTTAAAATAGTCAAAAAAGAATAGAAGAAGTTACTTTGTCCTTTGAAATAAGAAAAGCGAATAAGAAATATCTATGATTTAGAAGAATCGAGTAAAAGGTAAGAATTAGTACGTTATACATGTTATAGAAATTAACAAAGACTGATCATATAAAAGTTTCATGAAATTTATATAAAAAGTAATAAATCTCAAGTTGAATTGTATTATCAAAGTTCGTATTATTTTTACATGTATAAGCGCTAATCTGTAATACATATTTTTATTATGTAATGTAATTATGTAATGTATTTTATTTCTTATAATTTATTTTTTATCATAGTTATATATATATAATTATCATAATAATAGTAATAGAATAAATTCTTCTATTAAATTTCTGTGAATATGAGTAATCAAATAATTCCATTACTTTCTGATTTATTTTTTATTCAAAAGTTTTATTGATTTGAATTGTATATCGCTTTAGAAAAAAGAATTCATAATTAGTGAACTATGAACAGATTTTGTAATTTTATGAAAATCATATGCAAATTACTCAAGGTTCTGTTGTATATTTTTAAGAGAGTTCAATGTGTGCGTTTGTTTATTACAGTTGTATAGATTGAAAGTAAAAATATCTAATATTAATATAGATTTTTAGTTTCTTTTATTTGGCTAATTGTAAATTATATAATACGTTTTTTGTAAACCACTATCTTTTTATTGAATTATTGCTATATTTATTTTGTTATATGTTTTTAGTATTACAAGCTTAATCCTACGGTTGTATAAATACGATAGTTATATTATATATATATATATATATATATATATATATATATATATATGTTAAATTCTTAGTATTAAAGCAATCAAAATTATTAATAGAATGATCATTGTTGTATATATGAAATGATTGTCTAATTAATTCATTATAGAGACATTTATTTATTATCATAATAAAAAGATGAACTTGCTAACAATGACTTTCCATTTTTTTCTTCTATCAATCTATACAAATATGTATATTCAAACATTCATATATACGTACGTAGAGTGTTATATATATAGTACATTGCGTTATTATGTAATCAACGGAACATTTTGAGCATAGTAATCAGTAGACGTTAATGAAAAATAATATAATCGTTTTACGAAATAAATTTCTTCACTATTTTAGCACTAGCAGCACGCTTTTTATTACCAGTTCTCGTACTTATAGAATTAGGTATTATTTTTGTTTTTTTTAATTGTTTCTTTTTTTTCTGTTTTCCATTTCCATTCTTCAATTTATTCATATTGTTCAAACATTCCTCCGAATTGGAACTATCGGACACAGGTATCGCGAATGATTTCAGTTGTTGTATCGTACGAATTTTAGTTATTTTGTTTCTAGCAATTATTCTTTCGGTCGTTGCTACGTTTTGATGATGCGACTTTATTTGCGTTTCTAATTTTTGTTGCCTTCGTTCTTTTTTTGTCGGTGTATTACTCGTAAACAATTTTAAAGAATCAGCTTTAATGGATAGAAATGAATTTTTATTATTACCGTTGTTGTCTTTGATGGTTGAATTTAAATTCACAGTCATTTCCCATTTCAATCGTGAACGTTCCTTTTTCGTTTCTTTGACTTTCTCATCTTTACTATTATTATCTCCGACATCTTTCTTATATTTTGATATTGTTTGCTCGTTTACTAGGATATTTTGTTGTTTTCTGCGAGATTTCTTTTTCGGTTTTCTTTTTTCCAAAGTTTTCTCGAAATAATCGACCGTTTTTAATTTTTCTGTACTTGACCTAAAAACGAATAAATATTATAATTAAATTAATTATAATTTAATCACAAGTTATAAGAATAAGAATCTATCAATCTTTCATGATTTGAAATTTAATTTACAGATTTTAATTAATAAAACAATCAAAATTAAACAAAAACTTTATTTCTATTGAGTATATAAGGTTGTTGTTTTACAATCTTTTTATAATTTATAACATTATTCAATAAATAATTTTTTATCATGTTAAGAGTTAATAGATCCGCTCATAATATGATATAAATAATAAAATCAACAAAATGAAAAAGAAAAAACAGGCTCATATCGTTTTAACCTTAGGAATATTTCACTCTTGGAATTACAACTGGTTAAAGCGAGGCTAGATATACCCCAACTCAATGGTACTTTTCCAAAATCATTATTGATAACAGTCATGCCATTTTCCGTATTACGAATTGGTATTCCCATCCATATTTGTTGTCTGAAAGATGAAACTTTTCTTTCGAGGGATGCTGTTGAAGGATGATGTTTTAATTTCCTATAATAAAAAATTATATTTTTTACACATTGTATAAATACATTTTTTTCTACGCTTTTTTCTTTTTTTTTTTTTTTAAAGCACCTGGATAAACGATGACAACGTACTCGTTGTTGAATTTTTCCATGCTCATCATCGAGCAATAAATTTTCACCTAATGATACACTACGTGGTCTAATTATTGAAGGAAAAAAAGAACATTCTGTTGTACGTTCATTTTTTTTTATTTCTTCTTCATTTCTTTCTCGCAAGTTAAAGGTATTTTTTCTTTCTCTGTGTCTTTGAATTCTTGCTGAAAAATTTGTACGTTTTCATTAATTTTCGTGAATAACTATTGTGTGTGAATATTTGATGATTCACCTGTTGCTTTAGATCGATCATCATCGATCCAATCTGTCATGTAACATAAATCACTTCCTGGATCAGTTGTATGCAAATCCATGACGGTTCTAGATTGCTATAAATAATAATAAATAATGTGTTTATAATTATGAAAGTAGTCTAAGTTATATATCTCTTGTTTCGAGATATTTAAGGATTTATCCTTGAACACTATATGAATTCTACACAATATTGAAATAACATACATTATCTAACGATTCATTTTTGATAATATCGTGAAAATTACATTGAATTTATTTAGTTTATAATAATGTAGTGCGTAATAACTGATAAACTCATTTTTTATTAATTTTGACTTAGACCATTGTCCAGGTATATAGAATTATAAATTATATTTTTTCTCAATTGATTTAGAGGATTAAAATTTTTAATATTATAAATTATTTCCTTTTTTTTTTTTATACGGTTCAAATATAAAGAATTGCAAATAATTTATTTTCGGAGATTGTCATAGAAGGAGTTTAAATTTATAGAATTTAAAAATGATTATAAATTGTTATAATAATTTTACCAAAAATTTTTTGCGTTCCAAATACTTTCGTTCCATTTCCCTCGTTCTTATTCTCCTTTTTAGTAAATTCATGCTTCCAGTAGAACCAAAATTAGGAGATGGAGGTGGTGCTGGATGACCTTCTTTTTGTACTTCATCGTAAGCATTCGTCATCGATTCATCTGATGCATGACTTTCCGAACTTTCTCCTTCGTCGCTAGAAAATGATTTTCATTATGTTAATAATTTTGTAATATTCAATAAAAAAAAAAAAAACAAACAAACACATTAAAATACCTAGAGTAATCTGTTAAATCAATATTCGTAGGTTCTTCGGCATTTGATCCTTCTTTGATCAATCTCGTTAAAATTTTGGTTCGTAATCTCTCCTATTAAAACAAAACAAAACTAACAAATTTTTAGAAATCTCGATCAACACTCGTAGTCTTTATAAATTTCTTTTCATTTACGACAATCACCTTGACCGGATCTTGATCAGAAAAATCAAGGAGTGTCTCGCAAAAGGCTTTACCGATCTGTTCGTAATCTTGCGTAGAAAAATGTGTGCCAGATCTCGATCCTAATCTGGAACCACCCATTGAAGCTTCCATCGTGTAACTGTTTTGTACACCCATTGACCAAGCCACAACTCTACCTGTACCTTCCTTTCCTTTCTCTACGTGAAATTTACAATTTTCGAAAGAAAACTATAAAACAAAATATAATAAATAATAGATTTAAATAATTACAGAAATTTTATAGAATATCAATTCTTTCTTCTCAATTTTTTTTTTTTTAATTTGCAATCCAAACAATTTTTCTTTATTTTGTGCATCGGTAATATTTTTTCAACTTTTTCCCATTTTATATTTTTGCTTTTTTTTTTTTTTATTTCTGATGGATAATCTTTAACGTCAAGTTTCTAACCTTGTCAGCAGCATTTTTATGAAGCATTAAAGGAAAGATTTGTTCAGAGAGTTTAGCATTACATCCAGTTCTTTTGCTTTCGCAACCATAAGCAAAGATATTATGCTTCCTAGAATGAGCATGAAGGTCACAGTATATCGTTACTCCACATTCCTCAAGTAGTCTTCGTATCATCAACTTCGTATGCCAAACTGATGGATAACTTTCACGCATTACTGTCCTATACTGTCTATTTAAATCTTTACCGGATAAGGAACATCTATTATTACCAACTATAACTCCATCAGGATTTAACATTGGTATCAGTTTGAACACGAATCTCTCTCGTAATTCCTATTTACATTATTAGTTTTTATCTCATATTTTTTTATTGAGCAAAATAATGAAAAAATAGGACATTAGTTTAGTATCTGTTTTACCTTGGCACGATTAGATTCACCAGTTAAAAAATCAATGATACCCTTCATAGTCCAACTAGACGGTGTTTCACCAGGATGAACTCTGGCTGTGATTACAACTCCACGTTTTCTTCGTATTTCCTCGTAATAAGTTGGTGCTGTTATTGTTAAATAATAGACACCATTTCCAGCCAATGTACGACATAATAATCGTAATTTTGTAAATCTTGATTTTACTGGATCGCTTACTATTTTTGTTAAATATTCCTAATAATAAAAATAATTGGACTTGAGATTTAATTAATTGGCGATTAGAAAATGAATAGGAAATATTATTTATATACCTGTAAATCTGTATATGTATATGGATAACAATATGCTAAATAAACTATGTCATGATCATGTGGAAAACATATGTTAAATGTTAAAGTATGTTTCTCCTTTTCCTCGTCGCTGTTAAATATTTGTTTAAAATTATTGTTGATAATTTTAGATTTTGAAAAATGTTAGATTAACTTACGATTCTCCATTTTTGTAATAACTAATATTCTCCCCACATCTTCTCCATCCTATCGATTTAGTTCGAGCATCTTCAGTAGAATACAAAAGTGGCCTAAGTCCTTCGTTATATAAACTTTCATCCTTACACATATTCACGATCGATAATCTATTTATAAATAAATATTTAATATATTTTTGTATTTAAATTCAGAAGAAAAAAATGTTTTTTTTTTTTTTCATAAAAATTCAAACATTTCTATATTGTTTATTAAAATGCCTATAATTAATTCATATAAATATTCATGATCAATTATTTATTGATAATTAAACATATAATAATGATCAGTCTTCTAACATGACGACTTCAAATAATTCGTAAGTTATTAATTGTATGAAAAAAATGTTCCAATCAAAAGTTGCATGGTAACTAAGGAGGTATATAGTGTTTAAATCTGTTTTTATTACCTTACTTTTTGTTTAGATTTGTATAATACTTTTTTTACGCCAAATTTAATGATTTATAGAAATTTGAAAAAAAATATGTTAAACGTTCCATTTAAAAAAAACTGAAGGTGACCCTAATATCTCGATAATAAAGTAAAGTAATAAAAAACAGATATATATTTCCTTAGATACCATGCAACATATATTTGTAATAGCTTTAAGAATTATTTGAAATCGTCATGTTAGGAGACTCACCCTGTATATTTTAAATTCAAAAAAAAAGGAGAACCAAAAAGAGACATAATGTTTTTTTTTTTTTATCAAAATTAAAACATTTCAATATTATTCTTACCTGTAGGTAATTCTGCTTCTTGTATTAGAAATTTGAAAATAATACCATTGGGTGTGTCTCTGAGTATAGAGATCCCTTCTCAAATAAAGTTGATAATAAGTGTCACTTATTTTAACAACCTTTCCAAGATTACCAGATTCGAAACGTGACTCAAATCTTAAATCACTATTGGCATCGGTGATGAAAAACATATTGGCGGTGTTGTTCTCGTCCTTGGAAGATGGTAACGTGTATTCGTTCTCTGAGTTCGTTTCCTTGAAAGTTTTGTTGGAAGACGATAGAATTGGGTTTCCACCCACACATGATCTACTAAACTGTCAAGATGAACATCCTAATTATTTGAATTAAATTGATCGACGAATTAGTTGATTGATGATTAGGATTAATTTGGTACTTACATAATTGGTAACATTAGTTGGGCAGTATCGAAATATAACAGTACCTAATTCATCATCTATTGGTTTTGGTGTTGGTTCTTTCCCATTTGATAAATAAAATGGTTCTGGGTTTACCGGGTTATATTCTATATGACGAACCCTTTCTGGGATTACCTAGAATAAATGTTATTACGTAACATTAATTCAAGATGATCATTGATGATTTTTTTCTTTTCTTTTTGTATTTACTTGACATTCCGTTGGCCAACGTGCCATTTCTTGAACAATATTGTCCACAATACATTGCGAGCTTAATGCTCTAAGTGTTTCTTTTGCGTTTTTATTTTTCGTCGAGTCCAAGGATCCTGAAAATAAACTCAATTCGATGCTATCGTTCAAAATTTTACAACGTTCCAATATTTGGGATTCGTGTGGCGTTTGTAGACTCGTTAATGCTGTACCTGTAAATTATATTATTATTTTGTAAACAAATAAAAAATATTAAATTACGATTAACATATTTTTGAATACTTTTTTTTTTAAACAAAATTAATTAATAAACATAAAAATAAAAGGCCAAGATCTTGGGAAAATTTTAATAAGTTTGAAAGAAATAAAAATAAATTGTAAAAATGAAGTAAAAGCTTAACGAGTTTCTAGAAATAAAGAAATAAAGTTATCGTAAGGTGTTAAAATGATAGGTAAAAGTTTTTCACGTAGGTGGTACACCACAGAATAGTCGATAGTTGTACTTCATGTAGATAAGGGTACAACGTACTAACGTTCACGACCTCAACCATGAGTTGTATAGTTCTATGGAAATATGTATACACATATACTGACATACACACAGACATATTATTCATGACTCACTATTTACACGCTTTAAGCACGCGAAATAAGATACTTAGAAAATAATCGATATTTTGAATCATTCATATAGAATTTGTTTAGAAGTAATGAAATTTTTTTAATATAAAATTATAAATTCATTAAACCCACCAGTAATTGACTGAACAGGGAACAACATTGCTTGATGTTCACGTATTTTATTAGACGATAGAAGATTTGTCATATTTCGTTATTTCTCATCTTCCACGTAATCGTCATCTTTCTTTCAATTGATCGTTGCTCAATCATCGTCAATGATTTCTCGATCATTTTGATATGTTTTTAAATTTGACATTTTTTTCTTAGAATTAAGATAATTGTTAAAGATAAAAAGTTTGGCATTGTTTCGTCACTTCTTTGAACACACAAATTATGTTTTTATAAAAAAAAAAACTTTTATCATAAATATTTTTCAACGTAGCACTAAAAATGTTAAACAAAAATTATTTCAAATGTAAAGTAAAATTTAAATAACGAGAATAATCACAATTAAATTGACAATAAAATTTATTTAATAAAAAAAAAATCTTATGAATAATTTTTTATTCAAGTAATACAACAATAAAGTATGATTAATAATTTATTATCAAGCAATTGATCTGATTTGAAGATAAATGTTGATAGAACGAAAAAAAAAAGAAACATTTACTTGCCACTAATGTAAGTAAAATCACGTAGAGTCCGCTAATAAAAATCAGGATGTTATCATTGTTCGTTGGAATAGTATTAGTCGACTGAGAAGAAGCCACGAGCTGAAGAAGAGAGATTTGTAAAATATAGTCATGTATTGCCTGACAACGGTCGTGCATTGGGGGCGGAGTCACTGCCATTCTGATTGTTTGTTATACTTTCCTATTTCCATTCTATTTTCTACATTTTTTTTCATACATTTTTTCTCAACATAAATCTAAAAAAAATTTTTCAACTAATCAAATTTAATTAAGGATAATGATCGAGATCAATCTTGATCAATATAGTCCATCATTTATATATTATATATATACAATTTATTTTATTATTATTATTATAATTTATTTAATTAATGTAAATGTATAAATTAAAAAAAAGAAAAAGAAAAGTAAAAAAATGATTTGATCATCAAAATCGACTAATTTCACTGTACGTGCATACAATCATAGTATGCACTGATTGATGAACTGTAAGAAACGTCTAACTCATCATCAAATACACCAATTAGTGATGTGTATGCGTGTGTATGTATATAAAGCAATCTGTCTATTGTTCGTTTACCTCGTGGTACCGGGTTCTGAAAGTTATTGATCAATCAAAGACTACCAAACATACTAACAGCGTGTGTACAGGGATTCCATCGAATATCATTTCCTTTACCTTGTTTTATCGATTATATATTAACAAGTCTATTATTTTGTATATAAAATATTACTAAATATTATTAGTTATCTTCTATAGGAATTGATACAATCCTATTTTGAATTGATCGTAGTCAGAGTTGAACTTCAATATTTCTCATTTTGGTTTATATTATTTTTATGCACAATTTCAGTAGGTACGAAAATTAAGTGACAATAAAAACATACAAAATGGGTCGGAAAGTAACTGTAGCTGCTTGCACGTTGAATCAATGGGCCATGGACTTTGATGGGAATTTTCGAAGGATTCTTCAAAGTATAGAAGAAGCTAAAGCCGCTGGTGCTACTTACAGAAGTGGTCCCGAATTGGAAATTTGGTGTGTAAAAAATTGGATTATTGAAGTATAATAATTGTTGATTTAAGATTCTTTACTGATTAAATTACATTTCTTTTTTTTGTTCAGTGGTTACAGTTGCGAGGATCACTTTTACGAATCTGATACGTTGTTACATTGTTGGGAAGTTTTAGCAATGCTTATGAAATCCAGTGTTTGCGAAGATATTTTGATAGATGTTGGGATGCCAGTGATGCATAAAAATGTAACTTACAATTGTCGAGTTGTATTTTTAAATTGGTCTGTTTTGTTAATTAGACCAAAAATGTTGTTATGCGAGGATGGAAATTATCGTGAGTCAAGATGGTTTTCTCCTTGGACTAAGGTAACTCTTGCTAAAATATTTAATAATTTCAAATAAAATAATATTTTCATATTAATGTCCAATGGCACGACGTTGGTGTCGTAAATAAATTGATTTATTTATTACCAATTTAGGAACGTACTATTGAGGACTATTTTTTACCAAGAATGATTTCTCAATTAACTGGACAAAATGTTGTACCTTTTGGTGATGCTGTGATATCAACAAAAGATACTTGCATAGGTTTCGAAATATGCGAGGAACTTTGGAATCCACGTAGCAATCATATTCCAATGTCTCTGGATGGCGTTGAGATAATTGCTAATGGTCATAAATTTAGCATATACATAAATTAATCATCTCATTATCATAATCATAAAATTTTATATATTTTCTAATCTTATAGGAAGTGGTTCTTATTTCGAGCTTCGTAAAGGATATGTCACAGTAGATCTCGTTAAATCAGCAACATTTAAATGTGGTGGTTGTTACATCTTTAGTAATTTACGTGGATGCGATGGTGCAAGACTTTATTTTAATGGTGGTTCCGGTATTTTCCTTAATGGATATATTTTAAATCGTGGCAAACAATTTGCTTTGGAAGAAGTCGAGGTTACTGTAGCTACGTTTGATCTGGAAGACATAAGGTCAATCATAAATTCACAGTTTATGATTTTATTTTAAAGATATTACAATTACTGATTTTTGATGTTTTATTTTTTATTTTATAGAAGTTATAGAACTAATATTAGGTCAAGATCACATTCGGCGGCACGTTCCGAATCGTATCCACGTGTCAAAATAGATTTTGTTCTTTCTTCGACGAACTCGATTTTATCAAATCCGTCTAACAAACTCATGAATATGGAACAGAATATATTAGAGAATATGAGTGGAATGTTAAACGCTTCTTATCATACACCAGAGGAAGAAATTTCTTTGGCACCTGCTTGTTGGCTTTGGGATTACCTCAGGTATACTTGTTAATATTTATAAGTTAACTCATTTTAATATTCGAGTTCTAGATATTCTACTAATTTAATGAATCAAATTTTTCAAATAATTCAAAATAATATTTTGTTCTCTTTTTGAAGACGCTCTTGTCAAGGTGGATTTTTCATACCTTTAAGTGGGGGTATTGATTCATCTTCGTCAGCTTGTTTGGTCTATAGTATGTGTACTTTGATAGTTGAATCTGTTAGCAAAGGAAGTAAGCATTTAATGATTTGATATCAATTAAACTAAATAATTATTAAATTTAATTGAACGATATATTAATTTTAGATGCACAGGTGTTGTCAGATATTAGAAAAATTGTTGGCGATTGCGAGTATACACCGACTGATCCCAAACAACTTTGTAACACCTTACTGGTTACGTGTTACATGGGAACTGAGAATTCATCTGCTGAAACGAAAGCAAGAGCAGCCGAATTAGCGAAACAAATAGGGTCTTATCATCATAATATTGTCATTGATACCGCTGTCTCAGCTATTTTAGGTATATTTCAGCAGATAACGAAAATAGTGCCGAGATTTAAAGTACACGGTGGTTCTCCGAGAGAAAATCAAGCTTTGCAAAATATTCAAGTGGGCCTATTTTCAATAATTGTTTGCACGTTACTCTTTTGATTACTTTTATTACAATTTAGTATAATCGTATGTTGCTAATATTTATAGGCACGTTTACGTATGGTTATTACTTATCTATTCGCACAATTGATGCTCTGGATCCGAGGACGTCCAGGTGGTCTTCTAGTACTTGGAAGCACAAATGTTGATGAAGCACTTCGTGGCTATGTGACTAAATATGATAGCAGTAGTGCAGATATTAATCCTATTGGTGGAATATCTAAAAACGATCTCAAACGATTTCTTTCGTATTTCAGGTAATAATAGGATAATCAAATAATAATCTTACGTCACATATAAAAAACTGATGTTTCTTGTTAATTTATTTTAATTTTAGAAAGAAGCATGGATTGTCAGCTTTAGATGATATCTTAACATCACCACCAACGGCTGAATTGGAGCCATTGCAAGATGGAAAACTAACTCAATTCGACGAAGTAGAGATGGGTATGACGTACAACGAACTAGAAACTTTTGGAAAGCTTAGAAAACAATATTGTGCTGGACCCTATAGCATGTTTTGTCGACTTGTTAATACTTGGAATCATTATACACCCAAAGAGGTGAATTAGATATCAGATATTTTATCAATGTAATGTTTACAGTAATTGTGATTAAATTGTGAAAGTTAAATATTTTCATAGAATTTCAAATATTTCAATTTTTTTTAATATCACAGGTTGCAGACAAAGTTAGACATTTCTATCGCTGTTACGCGATACATCGTCATAAGATGACCATACTGACACCTTCTTGTCATATCGAAACTTACAGTCCTGATGACAATCGTTTCGATCATCGTCAGTTTCTTTACAATCATACATGGAAATGGCAATTCAATGCCATCGAAGAAGAGGTGAACCTGTATCAAAAATTAATTAATTTTTCCTAGAAYGAATATTGAATGATTAGAAAAAATGTACTCGCATTCTGTAAAAATGTGGTCAATGAATTTTTATACTTACTTATTTGTTTGTGTTGCTGTATTTGATGTGAAATAATTGATTACAGGTAAAACGAATGAGCACGGAGGAGCACACAACCAGATCGAAGACAGACGCACCTAAAGTGCCAGCTAGGCCAAGAGTCATCCCGTTCAACTCTGTAATTAGTAGTGAGTAAACACAACAACAAAATCAACAACAACAACAACAACTATAACTACAACAATAAACGACAGACAGACAAATCAATCAGACGTGTGAGTCTTCGTTATTAAAATGAAGATCTCTGACGATCTGACGAATTTATTTTAAAATAGTCTGAACAAAAACAGGCATTGATGAAAAAAAAAAAAAAAGTAAAATAAAAATAAAAGTACAATTCATCGAAAAAAAAGAGGCGCAGCAGATAAAAAGTTTGACGAGTATAAACGAAAATCAAGGAATTTGGATCATCAGTGCTCGATCATTCTCTGTTCCAGATAAGAAACATCCCGGAGTAATAGTTTAGTAGCCGTAGCTCTATCTCTTATCATTTTGACATTGCAGTGTCAACCAACGGGGAAAAGAATAGGATCGTATGCTGTTGCGATGACTTGGAGAGAAAAAATATTGCTTACAAGAAAGATGTCTCGTATATTTTTCAAAAAATAAAAATCATTTAAAAGAATAATATTTTTCTGCAAAGAACATAAAACAACAACAAAAAAATCAAAAATAATAAAAACAAATATATGATTACTGATAAGCATAAAGATTAGACACTTGTCTCTTTTTTTTAGATTAAAATAAAAAATAATTCAATGTTAGCATAATCTTATTCTTACCCAATAAAATAATATGCAATATTATACTTACCTTATCTTAATATAGAAAATGAATATATATGATGTTCTGTAATTGGTGGTTCAAGCGAGCAAGAAGTAATACTACATAAACAATTATATGAATAAATTTTATTTTACATTTTTTATTTTACATAAAGTTTTTGTGTAGAATCACTTCTAGCTTGCTTCTACCACGAGTTAGAGGACAGCCTGTATATTTTGTTAAACAATTTAAACCTATATTGGACAAGTTCATTACCATGCTCCGGAGAAGATCCATAAATGTGTGCCGTTGGTTCATCGATGAAAATCAGTGTCTTATAGATTTATGATACTTGTAGCGTAAGTGTTAAAAATAATCAAAAAATTTCAAAATGAAAAAATGAATAATACGATTAACTAAATTAATAATAAAATAATATTATTAACAACGCAGTCATCAATTTGTATTAGCAAGTTACTAATAATTTGAGAATATGCATGTAAAACATATATAATTTTATTGTCCCTTTGTTATTCGCGTACAAAGAACGTAACCGTTTTAACCATTAGAACATTGAGCAATTATGTTCTTCCTAAGATCTAGCAAAAGTATTCAAATGATATTTCAACACGCATTGAACTGAATGCGTTAAACAATCTCCTCTCTCTCTCTCTCTCTCTCTCTTTCTCATCTCTGACTCTCTTACACAGTATATTTGATAGTTTATAAATATATATGTATATATAATTATTTTATTTATATATATATATTTAAACATGCATACCTATAAATCCATACACTAACACGCATGCATATGCATTTCGTTCACTGACTTCTATGAATTTATATATATTGCATCTTTTATATATAATGTGGTATCATTTTGTTTTTAATTTTGTTTTTATTTTTTCTTTTAATATCTCTATATCATTGTTCATTCCTCTTATAATTATTTCGTGCTAACAGTCGATTTTTTTCTCTTTTTATTTTAAGATATAACGACGATAAATATTTATATATAATAATATATAAAATAAAAATCAATATAACCAGAATTATAATAAAATGGTTTCAATTTTCTTCAGGATGATTGAGTTCCATTTTTATACTTATTCACTATCGTTCTGTGTTTTCCTAAATCGGATGCATCTAAGTATAACGACAATAATTAATAAACTTATACATATAATTAGTACTAAAATAACGACGAGATGTGACAATGATAACGACGACAATGATAATAAGATTAATAATGATATAATAATAATATTATTATTAATATTAATAATAATAATAATAGTAATAATAATAGTAACATTAATACACGCTAAACAAAATAGTCGCAAAATTATGTTATATCATAATGATACTTTTTTTGAGAATACTGAATGTAAATAAAATTACAACTAAATAATAGTAATAATAATAATAATAATAATAATAATAATAATAATAATAATAATAATAATAGTAATAATAACATTAATAATAATAATCTAATAGATAATAATAATAATAAATAAAAATTATTTGAATACTAATATTAATATTAAAAAATTATAACAATATAAACGGTATAATAATGTAATAGAAAATTATATTCGAAGATGACAATACATATATTTTGAAAGAATAACTATATTAATAATAATAATAATAATAATAACAATAATAATAATAATAATAATAATAATAATAATAATAATAATAATAATAATAATAATAAACGTAATAAAGTAAAAATCTATTACCAATATACATTGTTGTAAATTGCATTTTCTGTGAAAAAGGATTATCAAAGTATTGATAAAGTACTGCTAGGATCGAAGTACACAAGGCGTTGAGTAAAAACATTTTTGTTTATTTTTTTAATTTTATTTCCTAACAAATTAATATGTTTTTGTAGGCAAATGTGTGTGTGTGTGTGTGTCTGTGGTATGTGCATAGGCTCTCTATAAATTATAATTAAGCAAGAGAGATATAAAAAAAAATCACAAACTAATGAGAGAACGAATTATTTTATTTTATGGTTGATCACCATAAAAAAAAGAAAATTTTTCTTATTTATTTATTTTTCGAGAGATTAATTTTATTTCTTTTCGTTTTGATACTTTGCACGAACGCGTATAGGTATAATAATAATAATAATATTAATAATAATAATAATAAAATAATAATAATAATAATAATATTATTTACAAAATCTTGGAACTAATATAAACAAAAGCTAAATTATTATCTATATAAATAATAGATAATCTCTAAATGAAAAAATGTGATTACAGAAGTGTTTTCCGCATATTATTATTATTAATAGTAATAATAATGATAACAATAATAATAAATGATAAACTAATGAAAATAAGTAAGCACCCTACTAAATATTAAAACTTAAAAATTGTATCTATCTCCATATCTAAATACACGAGAATTTGTCCATTTTTTTTTCCGATTTTTCTTGTTGCTTTCTTTTTTTGTCTTTTTTTTTTATTTGGATATCAGTCATCGAAGCGTTCTTCGAATAATTTTTAAATCAAAAACGCTATTTAAACTTGTCTTACGTTAATGTCAACAAATTACGTGTTCTCTCGATTAAAAAAAAAAAAATCCGTTAATCTAATCGAAGAGAAGATTAATTCTAAATAGTCTACATTTTAAACATTATATATATATGTATATATATTTGTATATTAAAAAAAATGGATATTCTAATAACTTCTAGCAGATTTATAATTGCACAAAATGCTTTGATCGTTGGTTCCCTTATACTATTCATAACTTCAATAACATATATTTCTTCTTAAACGAATAGTAAATTATTTATAATAATAATAATAATAATAATAATAATAATAATAATAATAATAATAATAATAATAATAATAATAATAATAATAATAATAATAATAATGATGATGATAATGACGATGATGATAATAATTAATGATGAATATAATGTGCAAGTAAAAATCTGTTTGGTGGAGGGATGGGGTAATTCTTATTCCTATCACAGATTAGATTACCCCCGAACAATGTGCAATGTAATAATAATAATAATAGTAATAATTTTATTGATTGGTCAATTAATTTAAAAAAAAAAAAAAAAGAAAAAGAAAAAGTGTGGAAAAGAAAAACTAAAATCTAAGTGATCTTTTAACCATTACATACTTAAACCATTCCACGTATCAGTCGATTAGATCAATTCTAATCTTACTATTTTTAAAATTATAATATATATATGATACATTATTATTATTATTAAAACTTTCATATACTTCGAAGAGATATCCAACGTCTATATATTAGCATCGAAAAGGAACATAATTTTATTTTCTCTTTCTAACACAATGGACGTCAGACATCTCTTTCGTGTTCATGATCAACCCGCCAAGTCAGAAAACAACGTAACTTGCCTCACATCGCATAAAAAAAAATATAGAAAAATAAAAAAAAAAATAAACATAAGAAGCCTTCAAAAATTGCACCTTTTCTTTTCTTTTTTTTTTCTATTCCTTATTCTCTTTTCCTCTCTTTCTCTCTCTAGTGTTCAAAAGTACAAGATAAGAGAATAAAGAAAGAAAAAAAAATAAAGAAAGTAATAAGCATTCCTGAAACGTTGAATCCGAGTTATTGGGTGTTTTATTTAATTTTTTTTTTTCTTTCTAATCTCTCATAAATGATGGATAATTATTTAATAATTCTAACGCAGTCTCTCTCTCTATATATAATATTTACATATATATTTTAACTCTTTTTCTCTCTTGTATATTATATATATTCTAAATAGCTGCACATGTCGACAAAATATTCTATATTTGTAAATAAATGTACGCGAGAGAACAATGAAACAAAAAAAAAAAAAGAACCGACTAAGTTCATCAAGAAAATCTGATTCCTTATGTATATCTAACTTTTTTTTTTGTATACGCGGGAGGAAACTAAAAAATAAATTGTCTCTAATCTTTTTCTTTGTGTGACATTAAAACGTGATTATAGGTGTCAACAGTAAAGTTGACAGGACTTTGTTGTCGTTCTTCTTCTTCTTCTTCTTCGTGTACGTTCCACCGAAGAGATTTTCCCGAGATTATTCGTCTAGTAAACGAATTTCCGACCATTGGACGACCTTGGAACCTTCAGAAACTGGATGCCCGACCCAAATGTAACAATGTGGCACGCTGCAGTGGTTTGTCGATGCTTTTAGAGGCCGACTTAACGCAGCTTTCCGAAATCCTCGAGTCTCGTTGCAGCATGCCACCCTGAAGATGTTACACGATGAAGAACTATTTTCTTGTTCTTTGTTGTATTTTTTTTTTATTTATACTTTATTTTATTTTTTTTATTTTTTTTTTTTAAGTATTTTTCCCTCACTTTCTATTTCGCTATTCTTTTCGATACTTAATTTAGTATTTTATTATTATTTTTTTTATTTATATACTTTCATCTCATTTGTTTGTCGTTTGTTTATCTTTTTATATTTTCTCTCGTTGTATATTTCTCGTTTATTTTTTTTTTTTATAAGAGAAATTTAAGAGAACATAACGAATCAAATTCTATTTATATTTGTTTGTTTGATTGTTCTTCTCTAACACCGCCCCACATACCTACCCACCCCTCTGCCCCATTTTCTTTACTTACTTAATTTCTAAGCACCTCCCAGACCCCTCACTTTCGATTCCTTTTCCTTTTCCACGTTAATCAGAAATTGATGTCGATTGTAATTGTTCTTAAGAACTTATCAATCAAATTTGTGTATTGTTTTGTTTATTTGTTTAACGACAAAACTAGATCGAGAGTCTACGTGCGCACCTGTAGCAACATGTTGGCGAAATTGCTGTTAGTGAACTTGAAGTGACGTTTATCGTA